GCCAGGGGCAGCTGGAAGTAGGGTCAACTAATGTTCAATTCCGAAACCACGGGGTTTAACTTGCGATGGTGGAGGTAGCCTCAGAGAAATTGAGAATTATGCCTGATAGATGCGGTCGGGTGTGTCGAATCACCAGTCGGATGAATAAATCAAATAAGTCTCAACGAGCTCAACGTATTGGTCAAAACTTTATCTCTCCAAGACGCACACAAAACAGTACAGAGAAAAAGTCCTGTCCTGCTTTTTTGCTACCAGCTGAAACTCAAAACAAGCAAATCAGGGTACCAGTAGCTGGCGTAGCTCCTGGTTGCTTATCATAGAAAACAGTTAGGATCAAGGAAGACTAAGGTCGTTGGGCAAAACGTAAATAATCTCCAATAAAAGCGCTTTTGTGGAGGTCCCAGAGTACCGCAATTAACCAACACGGGCGCTCAGAGTCAACCTACTTGACACAAGTCAAATCTCAAGGTGCCCAAAGTAAGAGCTATAGACCAAACGGGACGGTACGGGTCGGCATTCTGTCGGTATGCGGTTAAATTTGTTTCACCAGACAGCTCTTATTTGCCACCAGAGAAGTCCACGAGGACCAACGTAGCCATAGACCAAGTTCAAACGCAGATATCAAAATTAAATAAAACAAAAATCATGCAGAAGTATCTCATTTACGCCAGTCCCAGTTCTAAATTTCTATCCTTCAATTTGAAATCAAAACAAAACACTAGCTACCAAGTTATTAAATTCCAGTGGGTCCAAAGTGTATGAAATTCGGAATCGGTGCGGCTTGGTTTCCGGTCGGTGCAGTTCGGTATCACCGTACAGACGGCCTTAGTAGCCAATCTGTATTTGTAAACCAAGGAAATGAACAATAACTAGTATAGAACTAGGCTAATTCCAAACGGAATAATCAAAATATTTCAAAGTACCCTTGTATATGCAAAAACACTACAATAAATCTCAAATAGAAATTTCGCAAAGGCTGGTAAACTCATTGCGATGGACGTGGTTAATAAAACTCACTAGATAATCCACTTAATATATTCGCCGACAACAAAAAGAGTTTTACAAGACGTTGGCCGCAGCGGCGCAAGAGCGTCTCCTCTTCTTAAGGCTCGTATCGTCGGTCGTCCCTACAATTGTAGGGCGCAAGCGTTTATGGCCTCCTTGATTTTGATAATATTACGTCTTCTTCGTTAATGTACATGTATGTCCTGCTTTAGATTTTCGACATACTGACAGTCCTGGCTTGAGGTTATGTTGTTGTTTTGACGTTAAACACATGAATAGAAAGCAGAACCATAATTTATAATTTTCTTGCAAATAATGTCGATCACTCAAAAATACTTCGCTACATTGAACAAATTCCACAACCTGTGCAAGAAATTGTTGAGTTAGGAAAATTAATGCACATGGCTATATTATATTAAATTATATTTGTGTGTATGAAAGTCCAGACGCTTACAACCAAGCTATTCTCTTGATGAAGGTTGGTAAGTTACAAAACAAATCATTGCATATCCATATTATATACTTATCGCATTATTTTCAGGTGTGATTCATTCTCGCATGCTTTATGAGATGGTTCCTCCATTGATAAGAAACATTGTATGGCAAGTGCAATTATTGCATTGTCAATGTCAGAGATGCTTTTTCACAAATCATTGTGGCACTCTAGATTGTGTAGAGTGTCAAGCACCAGTATGTATAATGTGTGTATGTGAAGATCATTATTACTATTATTGACCATCGCTATTTCAGGGTGCTCAAAATGCCATGGTCATGTAGGATTACCAAAAATGAAGTGTTACAGGGAGTTAATAGAAGAATAGGGTTGCAGCATGAAGCAAAATCAGAAAACTTTATGACAATTCCATAATTAATTACGAATGGGAAAATAAAAGAAAATTGTGACCCATCAAGGGAATTACTTTCCTGTTAAACAAACTCCAAACAATTCAAACAACTAGATAAGCGGAAAAGACCCATTATGTTGAGAATTGTATTTACCTCAAAGTCAGACTGGGTCAAGCCCTAATAGGTAGTTTTGAGATAGTTTCATTGCATTCATAATTCACTCATCATTAGAGGTAGATAAATGTTGCAAGTATCAAATTAAAACTTCCAACGTTATCATGAACTTAATATGTAAGACTCATTTTAGGCAACAATAAACTTAACCTAACATGGCTCTGAGGTACAGAATTTGATTTGTATTTAAACTGCCGAGTATAAATTTTGGATTTAAATCACTATCAATAATGGATCCTTCAGCTACTGAGCATACTTCAGTGGTATCATCAAGAACAAGGAGATCAATGCACTGAGCCTCAAAGAACAATATGTTGTATTTATCAAATGTGTTGCACCATATATTAATGTTGTAGAATGTAGTATATGAAGAAAAAGTGAGGACAGCTAAATACAGTTTCTTTACCAGTTTGTTCATTGACTTGTAATCTTAACATAAAAGGGAAAATTTATTAAAACTGAGGCATAGGAAGGAAAAACATTTACTGATTGAGAAAGAAATATCAAAAACTGAACAGGTTTGATATTTGAAACACTCAAATGAACAGCAGATTTTGCTAGTTATGATAGTCACAGTAAAAAAAAAATGAAATCTTTGTCTCGAAAGTCAGCATTTATCTCTTGAAGTATTGGTAACTGTAATTTAGTTTGTTTCCTAATTGAATGTTCTAGGGGGGAGGTGGTTTCAGGCCCTTTTTAAAATGAAAACATCAAATGGTCATATATCCTAAATGTTTTAACTTTTGAAACTCAGGGTGGTAAAAAAAATGAATCCTTGATTATGAATATCCGTATTACCACTTTCAAATTTGGCATACATGTAAACGTGTCAAGAGGCATTCTTTTAATTTTAACTGCCTGTTTTGATAGACAGTGATGGTATGCTATTTATTTCTCTCTTATTAAAATTTTCAATCACTTCGAAGCAAAAATCACACATCACAAATAGAAATGTTGATTACAATATTCAAAAAGCCACTTTATCAAGTTTCGTGTGACATTTCATCTCTCACATGCAACATTAACTATTACACATTGAGAACCCCCTTCCCAGGCATAACAAAGCTCCTCTTGAACTCAATAGCTTTTACCTTTAATGAATATACAGGCTTATGCCTACCTTAAATTTACAAATTGCAGTGTCATGTCAGTCACAAAAAGCAAATTAACGAATTTCAGTAAGGTTGGCTCCTTCAAACATGCTTTCAAGTGCCTGGATGCATGAATCCATTCTTAGGGAGATCATTCGCCTCTTTATTCTTCCAAAATAGATTTGGAGTTTTGTATGCTATATCACGATGGTTTATATCTGCAAAAAAGATGCACAGATTCAAGACACATTAAAAATTTTACACCCTGGTGTGGGCTACAATTTTATAATGATATTTTTTAGAGTAACAGTCTGAAATTTTTACGTTAAGGTTCCCACTAATATAAAAAAATACCAGATAGGGCAGGGCATGTTTAAACTCAATTTCAGAGCATTTACCCATTATACATACTTGTAGCCTGGCACTAGGCAATCCAAAGTCTGACAATGATTTGTGAACAGCCATCTCCGACATCAACAATGCAGTTGCACTTGGGATACAATGTTTCTTATCCAACATATCATAAAGTCTGTGAGAACGAACCACATCTGAAAAAATGCGATAAGTATATAAATATGAATATGCAATGTTTAAAAATTTTGTAACTTACCAGCTTCATCAAGGAACAGCTTGGTTGTAAGCTGTTAGGCATATATATATATATATATATATATATATATATATATATATATATATATATAAATACACATCCATTTGAATTAAATTGTTGATTTTAGATCATTAATACTAGATATGGGACTTGAAGATACCACAGCCTGATGAATTTGTTCAATGTAGGAAATTATTATTGAATGATCAACATTATTTGCAAGAAAATATCCATTGATTCCTTTCTAAAATATCTTAAACGTCAAAAAAGAAACATAATCTGACATCACAATTGACTTCTGATTGACAGCAGACTAGAAATCAAAAGCAGGACATACATCTACCTTACCGAAGAAGACATAATATTATCGAAATCAAGGAGGCCATAAACGCGTCCTACAATTTATTGTAGGGGCGACTGACGATACGGGCCTAAGTGTCTTTTATGGCAGGGCTGTCCAACTTAATGTGGCCCAAGGGCCACTTAAAAAAAATGCAGTTTGGAGGGCCGCATTATAAAATCTTTCTATAGATTATTACTGAGTTTTAATAGGTATATGCATATTCGGTATATGAGAGTAATTTATACTTGTGATGTATACATGACCCGTGAAGCGGGCCGCAAGAAATGAGTTAGACAGCCCTGTTTTAGGGCGAACTGCCTCCACAGATCCTCCAATGTTGCCGTTGTGCGTAAACTATCCGCCAAACTGTTTACTGCACGCGCGGGAAATTCACATGATCGGAACACTCTGAACCATCACATAATTCATAAACGCTTTGTTCTAAAGCCTTCTGAAAATCTAAATCAGTGTTTTTTTAGCGAACTAGTTCAGCCAAAATTCTATCTACTCTTTATTCGTACTTAAAAATAGACACGGAAACCGGTACACTACAATTTCTATGACTAGACGAGTCAATCAGAAATCAGGGGCGTAGCTACCGCCGTATCAATTATACGGGGCCCCCGGGCCACGGGGGCCCCCAAAGTGTGTAAGGAAAAAGAAATAAAAACTTCCTAATTTATTTTATTTTACAAATGACAAAATTCTATAAAGCAATTACTTTTTATACCGCCTTAAGCGTGCGTTCAAAAGTTGGCAACACTGTACATCGTTATGGCGGGCTGTGGGACTTCCCCGTTTTACTTACTTCATCTGCAACTCAGCGGGGAATCCCTCAATAATAAAATCGATATCGCGAACGTGTACGTACATACTCTATATTGGATGTTAAACCACGGAGTGCAGTGCAGTGTTTATTTACGCGTTTTATGTAATTGTGCATTACATTGTAATTCAGTACAAACAATATTGTTCTGGTGGTTTAACAATATTAGTAGCGATTTGTGAAAGAAATGAGTGAAAGGAAAAGAGACTATCCCAGCGGTGCTGAGAAAAGAAAAAGTAAACGGAAAAGGGAAGAGGTTATAAAAAAAGTGCCCAAAATTTCTTCATTTTTTCATAGACAAGATACTGTGAGTGATTTAGATTGGAAAGGTAAGTACTACCCAACCCATTTATTCGGGGTCCGTAGTGATAAACAAGGAAATCTTTTAATTTCGGCCTGTCAATCTGTCCGTCACAAAAAGTGGTCTCCCCCCCTTCGATTTTCACAACTACTGGTCCAAAAATCTAAAAAAGATATTGGAGACTCCTTACTAATTAAACTTTTACATGAAATTGGTTTGGCAAAAATCTTAAAACGGATAAGGTTTAAAAATAAATAACAATTTGTAAAATTACTTCTTCGAAAAACCGAAGTACTTACTAATTTACACAAGTACTATTTTACACGACGCTAATGTGGATCTGCGTGGTTAGATACGCGTGGTTGGTTTATTATTTACCTGTAGCGAAGGGTGAATTTTGTTTTTAGGGTTCCGTGCCTCGAAACAAAAAAAAACCAAAACTCTAACTTATCTATAAGATCAATTTGTTTTGTTGTTTGTCTATCAGTCTGTATCGTATCGTAAATTGCGTGTTGAGAACTTCAGATGTGCAGACTCGCTTTCGGGTTGTTCTCGTTTTGTATGGCCACTACACTACGCGCTGCGTTCAAATAGCACGCAGGTGTAATGTAACGCACGGACGGGCTGCAGGTGATTTTGTATCTACTAATACGAGCACAATCCGCGTAGAGTCTGTGTGCGTCTGAACTGAACACTCTCTAACTGTGACCCTTAGTAAAGTTATTTATTTATATATAACTCTTTTTAGTTTAGTATCAAAGCATTCGTATTTATTTTTTAACAAATACTCGTTTATTTTTAGATTCTTCTGAAGCACGTTCTTCGTCAAATATCCATTCGGAAATAGAAGAAAGCCAAGCACATACTTCATCGGATGTCCATCCAGAAATTGAAGAACACCAAGTCAACGATTCTGATATATTTGAAGATTGTAATATAATTTCATCAGATAGAGGAAATTTTGGTGACAATTTATCTGAATGCGAACGAAAAATAATTTTTAAATTGGGTCCATTTAAACCACAAGGACCATTTCCAAAAGATTCAGAAAGTAACCGACCTTTTTCGGCCTATTATTATTCATATTTCAATCAGGCAGGCATAAAACTTGTAAGACCATGGTTATGTTATTCTAACGTTTTAAACAAACCGTACTGTCACTTCTGTTGGTTATTAGCAGATCGTCAAAACAAATCGTACTCCTCTGCTTGGGTTAACGGTGTTTCGGTTAGAAGCAATTTTACGCAAACTATACTTGACCATGAAAAGTCACAGCAGCATATGAATGCCTCACTCTCTTATAATAATTGGTTGCAAGGAAATACCATCGATACTCTATTGCAAAGTGAAATCAATAGTAAAATTACATTCTGGAGAGATGTACTGCATCGTATAATTAATGTTATAATTACTTTAGCATCTTGTAATCTATCTTTGAGAGGGCATGATTCTGATTCTGGAAATTTTATGGCAATTTTACGTTTGCTATCTAACTATGATGCAACTTTAAAAGAACTTCTTCTAAAACCGAAAGGCGAAATAAATTATTTAAGCCCTACGATTCAAAACGAAATTATTAGTTTGCTTGGTACCACCGTTAGGAACAATATTATCTCAGAAATTAAAAAAGCTCCATTTCTGACAATAATTCTGGATACAACACAAGACTTGTCAAAAATTGACCAACTTTCTGTAGTTTTTCGATATATCTCGGTTACAGAAAATGATGATAATGTGCCTAAAGAAATAAAAATCTGTGAGTCCTTTTTAGGATTTATAGCAGTAACCGATTGCAGTGCTGCAGGTCTGAAAACTGCCTTTTTAAATTTGACTAAAGAATATGGAATTGATTTGACTAAATGTAGAGGACAGGGTTACGATGGAGCAAATGTTATGTCGGGTATTTATGGAGGATTACAAACCCTAATAAAAGAGCATGCTCCAAATGCCGATTATGTTCATTGTGCTGCGCACGCTTTAAACTTAGTTTTAAACGATGCTGCGAGACACGTTCGTGAAATATCGACTTTTTTCGATAATTTAGAAAAAGTATATACTTTTTTTGGCAATAGTATAAAACGCTGGGCTATGCTAAGTGACGATCCGTCTGAAAAATATTTGATTACCCTTAAAAAGGTATGTCCAACCAGATGGTCTTCTAGGAACGACGCTTTATTAGCGGTAAAGAAAAATTTTTTACTAATCATGAAAACTTTGTACCAACTAAATTTAATTTCAAATAAAAAAGATGAACGTGAAGAATGTAAAAATATAATTAATATTTTAGAGAGTTATGATTTCTTAGTGCTCGTTACATTTTTTTCTTCACTATTTGAAATTATTAATCCTATTTCTAAAGCTCTACAGCATGAAAATAATGACTTACAGAAATCTAGTATTTTATTAAGTAATCTTTTAAATAGACTGTGCCAATTAAGAAATCAGATTTCATTTAATAGTTTGCTAAATGAGTCCAAAGATTTAGCAAAAGAGTGGGGGGTAACAACTGTTTTTAAAAACAGTAGGCGAAAGATAACGAAGCGTTTTTTTGATGAGTTATCACAAGATGAGAGAATTTCCGACCCGGAATCCTATTTCAAAGTCAATGTATACTATTGCTGTTTAGATATATTAATTTCTCAAACTAAAGAAAGATTTCAGAGCCTTTGCGATCTGAGTAGTATGTTCGAAATATTACAACCGGAGAAACTCCTATCTTCTTCAAACGAAGAGATATTAATCGCTTCCGGAAAACTGTCCGTTAAATACAGTAAAGACATCTCAGTTAATCTTTGTGACCAATTAAAGGCTCTAAAAACATGTTTAAAATCTGAAATTCAAAAAATTTATTCCATTAAAGAACTCATTGAATTATTGCTAGTAAAATTCAATAGTCTTGCATCTAGTTTTCCCGAGGTAATCACAGCATGCTTTTTATTCTTGACCCTTCCAGTTACAACCGCAACTGCTGAAAGAAGTTTTTCAAAATTAAAACTGATAAAAAATTACTTAAGAACTTCGATGGGACAAGAACGGCTGTCAGACCTCTCACTATTGTCCATAGAGGTAGAAACTTTAGAAAAACTAAAATCATCATCAGCCATAAATGATTTAATAAATCAGTTTGCCGAAAAAAAGGCAAGGAGAATGAATGTTTAAAATTTGATTTTTATTTGTAAAATGGTTAAATTATGTTATGATAAATAAATATTTCTTTTCACAATATTTTTTTTCTTTTGTGAAAAATCTTTACCCCCAAAGAATATAAGGGCCCCCAAACAATTTTTTATACGGGGCCCCGCCAATGCACGCTACGCCACTGTCAGAAATATAAAATCTCTCTCAGGTTCTGGATTAGGAACTATACAGCAAGTAAATCTAGAACCTCAAAAATACTTTACTTACAGTTAACCACAATCTCACGAAAAAACAACGCACTGGTTAAACGGAACATCCTTCAAACTCACCCGCTTACCTCTTGGTACAGGCGGGTACTTCAGTACTACGATATATTATTCATGTCAACTGGGCCTACATACGAGTACATACGCCCGCGCTTTCATAATGATCGTCAACGATCTAGAACCGACCATGGTCGCTGACGTGGTGAATTTGACTGAATCATTAGTATTTCTATTCGATTGCTTATGGCGTGGCCTATAAAATGGATGCCCACACCCCTAGGCATCTCATTCCCAAGGGCTAGATCACACCCTGCAGGGTTTCCAACCACAAAAGGACCTATAGCCAGTTCTAGCACCTCCCCAACGACCGGCAGTACATCACTTCCGCACGCACGCTGTGTGCTCTAAAGTACATTTTAAACCAGAAATATATAAAATATATCGGGATGTAGAACGACTTTTCAATCCTTATAAGGGCACTACGTGCCTATTTCAGCCGGTGCTAGATACGCCACTTTGGCGTGTTGTTTTCCCCCTGTAGATCCCAGGACGTATTAATACTCCCTCATGACGCATTTCTCACGACCTGAATATTGTCTAGGGCTACCACAACGCTTAAAATTTGATTGAAATCATTTCATTCGTTATATTTTAATACGGAAAGTATCAATTTCTGTCTATTTCACTGTGTAACGACTGTGGAATGTCATGTTTGTTTGAGGATCTCTACATCGAGGACAAAATAATATTAACGACAGGGCACTATCCCTGATTTAGAATATCTGAATTATAATTAATGATTAATATAAAATTTAACCGTCGAGAAAATGTAAATACGAGGGGAGGTCAGAAAGTACGTAATTCTCGGCACCGGGAAAAAACTTCATTACACTATACTGTTTTTTAGAAGTCACAGACTATCAATCAGATGGTACGTCTAAACAAACAAAAACATTACAAGAAATTGTAACTACCACGCGTTTCCCTCGAAACACGCACCTCTTCAAAATTCCTTACGATATATACAGCCTCAGACAAACGAATTCGGATTAGGTAGAACGTGCAATTAAACTTTTTTATTTTAAAATCACGTAGTCTGTAACTCCACTCTCGGAATGGCCGGGTGGAGAGTGGGCTCGAGGGAACAACATCGAAGATAAAATCTATTTCAGGAACATCCGAGGGATTAACAGCAACATTGATGCTGTTCATCACTACCTGCAATCCAATCGTCCCGCCATGCTTTTCTTGGCGGAGACAAAAATCTCCAAAACATCACCCAAATTTATTTGCTGCCTTTATCGCTCTCTCTCAGACCATAACTGGGATGACCTACTTGAATGCCTCGGCGTCACGATCGACTTCCTGAACATCAATCACCCCACTTCAGAGGTAGTTCTTCTCGGTGATTTCAATCCTTTGGTTGAGCTCAAACAAGACCGATGCAGCAGGTCGTGTAGTCGAAGTGTTCGCTCTTACTCAAGGGCTGACCCAGCTGGTGACCAGCCCTATTTTTCTCCCACGTCTCGTCACATACCAGTAGCCTGCTGGATCTCTTTCTGACCACGCATCCTGTCCCTTACAGCACTGCTGTTCTGTCCCCCCTGGGTAACTCACACCATGGTCTTGTGGAGGTTAGGTTTCGGTCAGAACTCACAGTGGCAGCAGAAACTCGTTCAGGCAGCAAAACTTGGCATTACGGACATGCCGACTGGGAGGGGCTCAGAGAATTCCTGTCTACCTTTCCTTGGAGAGATGTCTGTTTCACTAACGTGAATGCTTCGGCTGTCTGTTCGTCGATAACAGAAATTATACATGTCGGAATGGAGGAATACATCCCTAACACAGTGAAAGTTCCTAAACTAGGGTCCAACCGCTGGTTTAACAAATCGTGTGACACTGCTCGCCAGCAGAAGATCAAGGCACACAGAACCTTCTTACAAAATCCCACTGTAGAGAATAGACAAGCCGACGTCAAGTCGAAACAAATATAACGAAGGGGTTCGCAATGCCAAAAACCAGCATGATATTAAAGTTAGGCACAGGGTAATGTCTCAGCGCAATGGCAGTCGGTCTTTCTGGACGCTGGCCAAGCAGATTGAAAAGAACTTCTCACACAGTAGCCTTCCACCACTTACGTGTCAGGAAGGAACGATTGTATCCAACTCAAAAGAAAAGGCGGAAGTGCTTGCCAAGATCTTGGCCATGGTCGTCGCCCCCAGTGCCGTCAATTCAAAGGGTTCCCTACACCATGCGGGAGGTAACATTCAGGCAAATTACCGTAAGACGAGTGCTCTTGTCGCTCGACATAGACAAAGCTTCTGGTCTGGACTTGATTCCTGCCATTGTACTGAAGAGGTGTGCAGCGAAGCTTGCTCCGGATCTTTCGCGTCTCTTCCAGATATCTTATAAGTCCGGCACCTTCCCAGAAAACTGGAAATTTGCTCATGTCCAACCCATCCCAAAAAAAAGGACCTAAGACCGACCCTTACAACTACAGGCCTATAACTCTGCTTTCTGTTATAAGTAAGGTGATGGAGAGGTGCATAAATCGCGAGCTGCTGGACTACCTCGAACGTCACAGCTTGATTAGCGACAGGCAGTATGGTTTCCGGCACAAGCGATCCACAGGGGACCTCCTAGCTTACGTCACGCAATTGTGGAGTAAACTCATCCAGTCTTATGGTGAGGCTCATGTCGTTGCTTTTGACATCACGAAAGCGTTCCATCAGCTGTGACACGCTGCCATCTTAAGATAACTTCCATCCTATGGCCTCTCAGAAAAGCTTTGCAGATGGGTGGCTCACTTTATCTCTAGCCGCAAGATCTCCGTCGTAATTGACCGGTTCTCCTCTTGATGCCACAACGTCAACTCGGGTGTTCCCTAGGGATCGGTTTTGGCTCCGACACTATTCCTCTTACATATCAACGACCTCCTTTCCTGCACGATCTACCCAATCCACAGCTGCGCTGATGACAGCACTACATGCACGAATTCAGAATGACAAGCCGATCTCTGCCGCTGAGCTGGAAAAAAGAGGACTAGCGACGACTTCCTCTCTGACGAGAGACCTGGAGGTTATCACTGCTTGGGGACGCAACAATCTTGTACAGTTTAATGCTTCCATAACACATTACTGTACCTTGACGAACAAAAAGCGTCTTAGCGCTCATCAGGTTTCGATGGATGGCCGAGTTCTGCCAAAGAGAGAGCCGGCTGGTCGGAGTCCAGATCACCGAGGACCTGATCTGGCACGAACACATCTCGTCAATAGCGGCAGCTGCTGGGAAAAAGCTAGGCTATTTGTTTAGGGCTATGGCTAAGCACATAGTGGAGCGGAGAGCAAAGCAGCGATGAGAGCGGCGAGCAACGAGTAAACGGAACAGCGAGTTATTGAAAGTGAAGGTGGCATATACTGACGAGTTTATAAGCGAGTGTCTTTCAACGAGATGGAATTGTTAATTGAAAATTCTTGCTTAAAAATATGGTATTTACTAAATAATAAGAAAAAGCCCAGAAGCTGTAGTGTACATGAGATAAACCGTAGTAGGCATACACTTGGTGAATTTCACCACCTATACAGTGAGTTGCGAGAACATCCAGCAAAGTTCCATGCTTATTTCCGAATGAGTATTGCAACATTTGACTACATTTTGGGGAGAATAGAAAATAAGCTATTAAAGAACTGGACAAATTTTAATTTAAATCCTATAAGTCCTACAGAACGTCTTACGATTACTTTGAGGTAAGTAGGTACACCAAATATTCAAACTTATATAATTAGTAAATACTGTAAAGCTAATGAAGAGTTTCATCGGAGAAATTGCTTAGATAGGAGGCAACAGAGGTGGGATTTGAATATTCCTGGGATACAGTTTGCAACTCCGTAACATGGTAGGCCATAGGCTCCTGTGGTGTGCTGCATAAAACTTCTGAAGAGTTTTGGTACTGATTTTGCGAAGGATTTGATTCACCTCCGTAAACGAAATTGTAGACCAGCTCCTGCATTTTCATTCTCAATAGCATTTTTTTGCGCGGTGGAAGTGTTCTAACATAAGGAAGTAAGCTATCAAAAAAGTTTGAATCTTCATCGACGGTTCTTACTTGCTGATTTTGTAACATTTTTAATTTAGTTTCCTCAATTCTAACAAGGGCCGTGCTGATATCTTTATCGTTTTGTTGTTTTCTCACTTTGCTAGGCTTAGTGAGAGTCGCGCCGGGGGTCGTGGCCGATATATTTTCGTTTTTTAAAGGTAACTGGCTTTCATTTACAGATTTTTCGTAATCATCAACTTCAGTCTCAGTATCTTCATTCAAAATGGTATCGGCCATTTCATTAGGTAAATTACCACCATTGGATCGAACAGTAAACTGATCTCTCAAAAAACACAGGCTGTCGAAATATTGCCAAGATGAAACAGTTGATTGAGCAGCCCCGTCTCCAGACCGTTTCGCCGGTATTTTTTTCATCTCTTTACGAAAATTGTCCCGAAGCGTTTTCCATTTGCCTCTCACAACATTTCCTAAAATACAATATTTAAGCATTAATGTACATATACAGTGCTTCTTTATTCTCTATCAATGGAATTAACACAGCCAAATTTTGTTTACACTTTTGTTCTGGAACGAAGTGGAAGTCAAAATTCTGTACAATCGTAGTATGACACTTTAGCTACTTAATGCATAAAATTTGCGTTGGTAGCGTCACTACAATAAAAAAAACAACTATATATTTTGTCACAAAAGATAATTAAGTTGAACGACTATTTTTTCTCTTTCCAGATATTTAGCCACAGGCTCCTCATTTAAAAGCCTGGGATTCACCTATCGAGTAGGAGCTTCAACAGTTTCCTCAATTGTTCGAGAAACAGTGGTTGTAATTTGGGAATCATTACAGCCTGTACATATGAAAATTCCCACCGAACAACAGTTTACAAAATTGCCAAAGAATTCTATGATAAATGGAATTTTCCTAACTCTCTAGGAGCTATCGACCGGAAGCACATTCGAATAAAATGTCCTCATCACTCGGGAAGTATGTACTATAATTATAAGAATTATTTCTCCATTGTACTTCAAGCAGTCGCTGACGCAAACTGTAAGTTTGTTACAATTGACGTTGGGGGATACGGAAAGCAGAGTGATGGGGGTACTTTCCGTTCTTCCTCCTTGTTTCATTTGTTAGATACTGGACGTCTGAACGTTCCCCCAGATAGTGTTTTACCTTCAAGCGCAGTTGTAGCTCCTTATGTGTTTATTGGGGATGAAGCGTATCCATTATTGAGAAATCTGCTTAAACCTTACAACAGAAGAAATTTGGATGTTGATAGAGAGTATTTTAATATGCGGCTTTCAAGAGCAAGGAGGACGGTAGAATGTGCATTTGGCATCATCAATGCTAAATTTCGCATTCTCTTGAAACCTATAGAAATCTCTCCGGAGTGGGCTGATAAAATTATTAAATTTATTTGCCTATTACATAATATTATAATCGACAAGGAAGGATTAGATATTAAAAATGAAATAGTTATGCCACATTCTGAAACAGCAGACGGATCCCGATAAAATAACAGATCAACTGATACTGCGAATTTTGTTAGGGAAACTTACAAAATGTTTTTATGTCAAAATAAAATTTGAGAAGCCAAATAATTATGTATATTATCGCTGTAAAACTGAATAAATGTTTGTTATAAGCACTTACTTGTAGAGTTCATTTCTTTGGCCACCGCAACCCACAACTTATCTAATATAAATCGATTATGGTGTTGAGGGTCCTTTTGATCCCAGAGAGCTTTTTTCATAAAAATACTAGTTATTAGTTCTTCGGTGTTCATTTTTCAATGTATACTATAAGCGATTACAGCAAAGAAAACAAACTTGTTTGAACGCTCTGCTTTGCTCGACTATAACAGCGCTTATCGCATCTCCGACGTTAGCCTCACTATGTGCGTTCAGATTTAAAAAACGTAACTTAATTTCGCTGCTTTGCTCGCCGCTCTCATCGCTGCTTTGCTCTCCGCTCCACTATGTGCTTAGCCTAAGAAGTACTTTTCTCCGCTTGACATTATCTTTCTATACAAGGCCCAGATAAGGCCTAGCCTCGAATGTTGATCACACGTTTGGGGTGCTGTAGCCCCGACTACGTTATTTATGCTCGATGCTGTCCAGAGGAGGGCTGTCCGACTGATCGATGACTCGTATCTAACAGACAGTCTCGGGACCCTTTCGCACCGGCGGGCTGTCGGCGATCTAGATCTCTTCTACCGATACACCAACGGGCTTTGCTCCTCAGCGTTCTCTTCCATGATGCCGACGCGCGATATGCCTGCCAGACAGACTCGCATGACTTTGGCCTTCCATCTTAACCATGCCGAACTGCGTACATTCAGAACGAACCGATACGTTCGCTCCTTTGTCCTGACGGTGTCGAGATTGTGGAGCAATCTACAAGAGGAACCTTTTCCCAGTTCTACTAACCTTAGGCAGTTCAAAAATCTGATGAACTAAATTTCTCTGGGATCATCATAGCACCATAGCAGCCGCGGTGTCCCGGCATTTAGGCTTCTGCATGCGCGGTTGCTTCTGTATAAAAAAAAAATTTATCCCACCAGCCCAAACATCTAATGAAAATCTATGTTGAAAATCAGTTCTTTTTACAGCATGCGAATTTTCTACTGTCCAAACATGATTGATCTAGAAATTGTGCACTTCATTTCATGTAAATGTGGCCACATGTGTACACAAAATTAATTTCATAAAATCACATCTGCTCAACTGATCTAAAAGCCACTGGCAAACCGCAACTCTTCTAGGATGATCTTCATGTTGTAACGCTTGCACCTGTTGATAATGATAATACTGTTCTTGTTGTATTGTCTTCCACACTTTAATATGAGAAACTTCAACTTGAGCTGAGATGGCTCTAATACCACCAAATTATCACCATTTCTAAAATGTCTTCCTCAATTTGTAACATTTCAGGTTGAGCAGTTCTTTCAGCGTGATCTCCTTATTGTGTCACAAAGTCTAATAACCAAAATGCTGTGACTGCTATAGGTAAGTATTATACTGCCCTCCTAAGCCAAACCCCCGTATTTGAAAAAAAATCGAAAACGAGATTTTTGGCTCTACTGTACTAAAATGTCGTGAATTTTCGTTTTTTCTATGTTAAAAAACCGTATCTGAAGCGGAAATGTATGAAATCAAGTAATGCTAAGCCCGTATTCGCAAAAAAATTAAAAAATACTAATGCCGAACCCCGTATTTGTGGTTTACTAAGAGCTTTCCTCGTATTTTTAACTGGATACGGGGTTTTTGTCTAGGAACTTCCAAATACGTGGTTTAAGCCTAGCAAGTCGACCTGTCGCCACCTGTCGTAGGCAACGCGTGCAGGCGCAGGCGGTTTGATTAATATCAGTTTGCTGGTAACCTCCAAGTGGCACGTGGCGTGGCTTTACCCTAGGATCTCAATTTCGACCACAACGATTTTATAAAATCTAGAACAATGTGCTCATGGAGTAGCGGAAGCAGAGGAAAAAAGTTAGTTTCCCTGGCTACTATTTCTAAAGTTAATACAGTGAATTCAGAGGAAGAGCCTTGCTTAAGCGCTCAGAATTATTATTGTGATGAAGATGTACTACAGGATGTACAGATGGAAGAATTCATACCAATTACCAAGAGTTGCGTAATTGATAATGGATCGATGACTATTCGATACATGGATTCAGCTGATACTGTTGGTGAGTAAAACTAAAATTTCAATCAAATGTGGAAGTGGAAGAAAAAAATATTCAAAATATGGAAGACGATAGTCGTGGGGATGAGAATAGAAGGGAACCTATGAAAAATGATGCAAATCAAATAATAGAAGAAACAGAGATTGTAGAAGAGGAGAATGAAACTAAAGGGTATGAGGAAGCAGGTAAGCGTGTACTATCTACTACTACAGCAAGCATTATTGCACCTGTAAGGTATAATTTCAGATCCATATGAAACAGTTGAAGGCCACACAAAAAAAGGCGAAGAAAGAAAAAGAAAAAAATACAAACTGTCCAAGGAAGTGAGAGCTGAAACTAAGAAAAACAAGGTAATCTCGCTTCATAAGGTCAGAGAAGGCTGTATAAACTGTAAGCTCAAATGTCGGACATTCTTTACCGAGGAGGAGAGAAACACCACAAACCACGAATTTTGGAAGTTGGACTGGAAGGGAAAACGAACATTTGTGATGAACTCGACAGAGAATAGAACACCAAAGAGAAAAGTAGAAGGTTCAAAGAAAAACAAGACATTCACATATTTTCTGAAGGATTCTAGTGGTACAACAAGACGTGTCTGTAAAATATTTTTCCTAACAACATTGGGATATAAAAAAACGAATGACTGGATAATCCATTCGGTGTGGGCAAATGCTAATAGCAAAAATCAGTTACAAAATGATTTAGACCGCCGAGGTAGGCATCCTCCTCCAAACAAGTTGTCTAATAAGATTATAGAAAGCCATATTGACTCATTTAATCCATCTGTATCTCACTATAGAAGAGTCCATGCTCCTAATCGTCTATATTTGCCGAGTGACTTGAATGTCACCCTTATGTTTGAAGACTTTAAAAAAAGATATCCCGATTACATTTGCTCCTATGAAAAATATAGAAAAATCCTCAAGGCGAAAAATATATCTTTCGCAAAATTAGGAAATGAGGAATGTGAACTCTGTGAGTCGTACCATATGCATAATTCCGAACATAAAGCTGAGTCCTTAAGTGATGATTGCGAGGTATGCTGCAGCTGGAAGGATCACATTATGAAAGCAAAAGAATCTCGTGAGAGATACTCACTAAATAAGGAAAACTGCAACAAAGACAAAGGAAATTTGTGCTTTTCTGTTGATCTTCAAAAAGTAATAATGTTGCCTAGACTTGAAATGTTTAAAAAAGCGATCTTTGCTTCTCGCCTAATAGTTTACAATGAAAGTTTTGTGCCAGTTGGTAAAATTAGAGATTTTCCTCCATTTGCCGTATTGTGGCATGAAGGCATCAGCGAACGACACCAAGAAGATATTATTAGTGCCTTCAACGCATTTCTTCTTCACCACAGGGATGTCCGCAATATCACTCTATGGTTGGACAATTGTTCTAGCCAGAATAAAAACTGGGCATTATTCACCTTTCTTGTTTATATTGTGAACTCAACAAGTATATCCGCTGAGACCATTCACTTGAACTATTTTGAACCAGGTCATACATTTATGTCGGCGGATTCGTTCCACCACCAAGTAGAAGAATCACTAAAGCGTCAAGTCAAAACATATGATTTTGCAGACTTTGAGAAGGCAGTACAGTCCAGCAATAAGGGAAAGGTACAAATCAAATCCATGAAACTGAATGATTTTCAATTGTGGAAAAGTCTCCATTCAGTTAGTAAAATTAAGAAACAGGATCCCAGTTTTACTATGAGTAAAATAACGGAATTAATGGTAAAGAGGACTGAATTTGTGATGTACTACAAACGCAATTTTGAGGAAGAATGGAAGAAACTAGATTTTTTGCTAAAAAAACATATTAGTGAAATGCCAACAGCCCCACTAAAAACGGCACCAAATGGCTTTGAGCGTCAAAAAGTTGAAAACCTGCTTAAAGCGGTTGGTTCCATTATGCCAGGTAACAGGAAAGAATTTTGGGAGAAACTTCCAGAAAAAGTTATCTAGTAAGTGTTCTTTTATTATATTTAATGTGTTCACCATAAAATAAAGTAATTAAAAGCTGGTGTGTTACTAAATTCATTTTCATCTACCAAGTACCTCAATTCCCAACGACTGATATCAAAAATACGATTATTATGACAAATATAAATTTGATAATGTCCTAGAACAAATGCCCGTATTCGCCAAATACGGGGTTATTGCATAGGAAATTGGTGTAACAGAACTAAAAAAAATCCTCGTATGGCAATTTATACTTGTAAAAACAATCAAACAAGGTTGTTTATGTAGACCACATAATTTTAGAGCCCTTATTACTCAATATGGACATCAATTATTAATACCATGGACGTCCGTTAAAGCTACAAACAAAAAGAAACTTCAAATTGATATTGCGCCACTTTCCAATATTTCCGAATACGGGGGTTTAGCTTATGAGGGCAGTATATATTCTTTGGTTTCGTAAACATGGGCTGTTTTTTCACACAAAATAATCAGACAAAATAGACGTAAAGATTTTTGGTATATCAATTCCTTTGGCGAGTCTCCCCAACAAAAAAAAATACTTCGGATTGACAGCACCATCTTTACAGGGTCCATACACACCTACCCATCTACCCATCAACTGCTGGGAAATGCAACCCATCATATTCCATCAATATCGCTTCACCCAGTATACATTTTCCAAATAGATATTCTAGAATTTTGCCTCACCAGCTATTAGCAAATTGTGGTGGCTTCTAATACATATATCATCTGGGAGATCTCTTATTGAGTATTCAGCTACCACAAAGTGGTGTAGCAAGTTTATCTCGAATAGCAGTAGCTTTGTCAGTTTGATGGCAGTATTTAATTAGCTTTCAGATTCAATACTTAGTTGTTCCAATTTTGCAGCCTATCAAAGTTACTCCACAACTACTGCTATTCAGCATATGCTCTGCACTACTGGATCACTTTAGCTGAATGCACTTATTGTTTATTCAACAGTACAACATTACCTTTCAGTCTCTGCGAGTTGAAATTCTTGTTTGTACTTATATACAACGCTTGTCCACCCATGCCACCGCACCATTTTGGAAGTTGTACAGATACACATAACTGAAAGCTACAAATAAAAAACATCGCATGAATATTTTGAAACACTTGAAACTTCAATCAATACCAAACTTGAGATTTTCCAGAACCAGAATGACCTGTAAACTCAGTAACTGTTTCTGGACGTATCACATTTTCAAGAAGTTTGTCCAACTCCTTATTGTAGCTCAAAATACAGCCATTCAATGCTTCTTTTTGGAATATTTCGAGGGCGTTGGCAAACTTTGAAACCTTAGCCAGGTCTTCCCAATCGGTACCTAATACTTGTCTCAAGTTTTGCAAATTGGCTTCTACATCAGAACAGTAATGATAGCCTATATTCTTCAGTTCTTCTATTTTACCTCTAGGTAAAGCTGTCAAGTCTATGTTATGATTCATTGATCGTCTTTTGTAGCAGGATCTAAGCAAATAGATAAACCGATAAAGAAAAAAATATAATCAAATTCAAGCGGACTAAAAATATAAAGTACAGCAGACACCACGCACTTTTTAAATCCCCGCTTTCTATAAGCACAAAAAGTAAGTTTGTGAATTGAAATTCAGTTGAGGCTCAATGAATATCAGTATCACCGACACACAACTAATAAAAACGCCGGCGCCGCACACGATTCAACTTTATATTCAACGTATATCAACGTCAAAGCATTGAACTGTCAAAAAGAACGGAAAACCTAAATCAAATTCAAGCGGATAACCAAATGGAAATGGTATTTACCATTTTGGATTGGTATTTACCGATCCGTTCAAGCGAGTGTGGTTATCAGTTTGGTTATAAGATCCGTGACGTCATGAATCAGCTGTTATATGTCATAGTTTCATAGTTATCACCGCAAAATTGTCGTATCAACTCAGGAGTAAATCAAATTCAAGCGAATAACCAAAATTTCTGTGTTATGTGCCGCGGTTATAATATGGTTCAAGATGACACACGGGTTGATGACGTCAGTTACACGAATCGCTTGAACGCCTTGGTTTTAACCGCGGTTTTGTTGCAAGTTGTTTATTTTATAAAAGCGCGTATATAATCTCTGATTATTTTTATTATTACTTAATAATCGGTGCTTTTTCGTCTACAACTGTATATGGAAAGTTTAAATAAGAAACCTTTCATAATATTCATGGAAGAAATGCTTTTTTCAGATTTTTTTTTAATGATGGAACCATGGCTTTGTAGCTATGATAACTTTCAATTCTCTAAATTTTTCCGCATGTCAAAGAAAACATTTATTGATTCAGCAGAAATGATGAAAAAAGAAATTAGCAAAACCGTATACAGGTGGATATCATCTAGTGAGTTTATATGGCCATATTTTAATATGCTTGTGGTATATGGCTACACAGGATACTTTGTTAAGCATAGGAACTACATTTAAAGTGTCACCAACAACCGTAATGAGTATAACTAATAAGGTGCTCCACTTTATGGTAAAACTGAAGTCAGCCTGTATCATTTTTCTCAAAAATGAAGCTGAAGTACAATAACAATATCCAATACCCGGCAAAATTCTAACTTGTCACATTTCAAATAATAACCAGAAATATAAAACCTTATACATATATAATTTGAATATTTAATTCAAATTTAGCGCCACAGTGTAATAGGGAAGACCAAAGATGGCGCTAGTTATTCGATATTTTTGAAGGGCCCTAAAACAGTTCGTATAGGTTCTATAAAAGAATGTCCCTGAGATGGCGCTACAAACTTAGTGATAAATCTTAGCATTACAGATTCCCTTAAAAAGTAGGTGTTATGTGGTCTTATGTAGTTTGCTGGATACTGGGCGCCATTAAAGGCATTCAGCCCACCCCTAAAAAAAAAATTATATCCGCAAGGTGGCAGTACAATGACGAAATTCATGATTAAATCGAACGCCTGGCCCACTGGGCTCTGAAGACGCCTACCCATCGCCGTGTGATTACACAACGTTGCCAGAACGGCGCACCGGCCTAGTCATCCTGCCGGCGCCAGGCTATATGGGATTTTGGTAAATTGTCACCCTTTCATACAACTACCCGTCAACTTTGACAGCCTCTCAGTTCGCCAGTCTTGGAAATGTTATATTCTAGAATAAAGCACTAGTAAGAATGAGGTAGCACCTGACCTTTCAGTCCATTTAAAAAATGTTCCAAAATTATTGCACCCATGAATTTCAGCTAGCTAACGTGACCCGTTCAAACAAAAAATAGAGGGATCATTGAAAAGCACTGTATGTACAGTATCGGACAAAAATAGAGCGACGATATATTTTTGTTCTTCTATTGAAAACGCAATAACGCAAGAGGAATTAAAACTCATTAAAACAAATACATTCATTGACGCAAATACATTTATTACATTCTATACGAAACTTCTCCCATATTGACAAGATTCTAAAATGAAAAAGAAAAATCAAACATTCTTAAACGACAAAAGTTAAGCGACGCATACAATAAAAATAATACCAAACAGAATATTCAAAAAACAAATACATTATCATGTTGCCTTCCTAATATTTAGTCCACAGTCCTTTATTTGCGAGAACCTGGCGCCACCTTTGAGGCATGGAAGAAATTAAATTATCAATTATGTTTTGATCAATAGTTTTCCAGATATTTTCAATTTCTTCAAAAATTTGCTGTTTATTTTTATAGGATTTGGTTCTAAGTTGCCTATCTACAATTTCCCACAGGTTTTCGATCGGATTAAGATCGGGTGATTGGGCTGGCCATTTAAGAATGGTGATTCTATTTTCATTGAACCATTCTTTTATACATTTTGCTGTATGTTTTGGGTCACTGTCGTGTTGAAAAACATATCGTAGTGGCATATTCCATTCTGCATAAGGCAGCATGATATTTTCAAGGATATATTTATACTTAAACCTATCCATAATGCCCTCAATGTGATAAATTGGTCCCATTTCATAGCCAGAGAAACAACCCCACACTAACACGTTTCCACCTCCATGTTTTATAGTACCTTGGACATACTTTGGGTCGAGTCTTTTACCTGCAATACGCCGAACATATTGAACTCTATCACTTTTGTGCAAATCAAACTTTGACTCATCACTAAACAGTACTTTTTTCCATTGCTCTGGTGTCCAATGAGCATGTGCAGACGACGTGCTTTAATATTCTTCTTATTAGGAAGCGGCTTTTAGCAGGTTTGCATGCCGTTAAGCCCGCTTTAGCTAGTCTGCGCTGTATAGTCCGAGAAGAAACATTAGAGTCACCAGCTTCAGCCAGAATTTGTTTTGCTGACAAAAAAGGGTTTGCCTGAGAGATCCTCTTAATTCTCCTATCAAGTTTCTTTGTAGTTTTTCTCGGTCTTCCCGTCTGTTTTAGGTTGACTACTTTACCCCTAATTCGATAATTCTGAATTGTCCTCGACACCACAGATTTTGAAACCCTCAGTTCTTGTTTTATTTTATATTGTGATATTCCCATCTTATATGATGCAATAATTCTATCTTTAAGATCAACAGAAAAACTTTTACCGCGAGGCATTTTATACACAAAATAACATTTGATACCGACCACAACCGAAGTTTATGTACTAATGGCAAAGTCGCTCTATTTTTCTCCATGAAAAAATGCATAAAAACATATAAGGTATTTCTTTATCTCTCGATGTTATCACAAGAGGCAAAGAATATTTAAATACGATAAACCAAGGTATGTACTGTTACTACAAAATTGCTCGTCATCATACGAGGTACAGTGAAAAAGTTTTTTAAGGATATTATAGCGTCGCTTTACTTTTGTCCGATACTGTATATAAGCTACTTTGGTTTCAGAGGAAACGCGTACTCACTGATCGAAAGTTATTTGTCAAATCGCCCACAATCTGTGCAGATATCAGGATCATTTAGTAAAGAAATGTATATTAAGTGTGGTGTCCCACAAGGAACTGTCTTAGGTCCGCTGTTATTCAATATATATTCAAATAATATTTTCCAAATTAATTGTGTTGGCAAAATAACTAGTTTTGCAGATGATACTGCAATATTATATGAAGGCACTGGCTGGTCTGATCTGAAAAATGTAATTGAAAATGATTTTATCAAAATTATTCGGTGGTTTAACAGTAGAAAATTAAGCATTAACTACTCTAAAACACATTTTTTACCATTTGGATCTTATGCTAGACATCTGCCAAATTACACAAATTTCTCCTGCAATATTAATGATCAAAAAATGCAAATTAATAGAGTGCCCAACATAAAATACCTTGGAGTGGTCTTGGATCCTCACTTACGATGGGACATCCATGTCAATTATATTTTAAAGAAAGCTAGATTTGTATCCTACAAAATTAAATACTTTGGGAATATATTGACAGAAAAATATCTTCGAACATTATACCATGCACTGATTGAGCCTTATCTCACATATGGTATATTAGCATGGGGAGCTGCGTGTTCCTCACATATCTATAATTTAGATGTTTTTCAAAAAAGTATTCTAAAAATGATATTTAAAAAACCGAAACTTTATCCCACTGAAAAATTATACGCAGATGTTCGAATGTATGATATAAGACAGCTTTATTTCTTACACAGTATCACTCACTATCATAAATTTGTAAACACCGACCAAAAAATTAAACATAATCATTATACCAGGTACAAAATTCGTGGCACACTCAACCGCATAAATCTATAATGCAGCGATCATATCTCTATTTAGCGCCTAAATTTTATGAAATTATACCTAAAGACTTAAAAGATTTACGTTTCGGAAATTGTTTCAAAAGAAATTTAAAAAAGTGGCTACATTCTATATCTAGGACTGAAATTCATAAACTCATAAATACGAACATCAACTAAATACATAATCTACTGTAGCTAATTTTTGTCCTTTTTTGTCATTTGCATTCTACAGTTTCAACTTAAATTGTTGGTCCATGTACAGGCGATGCCTTCTATTGGGCCTGTTTTGATTTTATATTTATTTACTCATATTGTTTGTTATCTTTGTACATTGAGTGAATAAATATTATTATTATTGTTATTATTATTACTTTGAAAAAATAGACATTATAGGTAGTATAAGTTTATTCACATATATACAGTTTCAGTGGACCCAACAATCCAAATGCATACATATAGACAAATAAACTTCAAAATCCCACTTAAGTATATATACCTGCTAGATACAGATATGAGCATCCCTACTAATATTATAAATGTGTGTATGTTTGTGAGTTTGTATGTTCCGTTTTCACGCCAAAACTGCTGAACCAATTCCGATGCATTTTGGAACAAATATAGATTAGACCTTGGAGAGGAAGGGGTTGAAATGGGGGTAAATGTGACCATGTGCATCAAGAAACTATTATTATTTTAGTTCGTGATATAAATATTGGTTTTTATATATATTTGGTTCATACATATAAATTAAATGAGCACTCACAAAGCAATTTTAGAAATTCCACCCCCAAGCAAGGGTTGAAGCGAGGTAACGCCCTTTGTACTGAGGAACCTAAGCTATTTCAAATAGCCCAGAAGTAGGGTGTATCTTTTGTTTATAATTTTATCTATAAAATAAACTGACATTAACAAAGGCTTTCATAAATGATATCCTCGAGATGGGGAAGGGAGGGGGGTGAATATTTCTTATCAGCTTTTCGATTTTTTGTCACCGTTTTGATAAATTTATCTCGAGAACTAAGACATACATATGTATATAATATATATTTTCAAAGAATTTCAAAATTTCAGAATTTTAAAAATTTTTAGAATCTTCAAAAT